CATTGCATCCCTTTTTTGTGATTTTTTTTTTTTTGGTTGGTAGACAACACCCCCTACAGTGCTAGTGCTGCTGGTAAAAGCAGGCAGCACGAGCACCCAGGGAGAGGCTCCATCTATTGGTGGGGAGCATCACCTGCTGGAAAACGGGTCCAGCGTCCCTTATACACAGAATGAACCCGGCAAATGTCAGGGAATACAACTGAGAAAGACACCTGGCAGCATTGATTACTCTGTCCTCCAGAGGATTGACTGTGCAGGTTGTTGGGAACAAGGAAAAACCTATTCGCCCTGTACCAGGCGCCAGATACCTGCTGCTGAGAGACTAGTCCTCCCTCTCCCAAAAAGCTTCACCACCCCATCCCCCCCCATCGATCGCTCTGTTCCACTCAATGTCACCTGGCAGCTTTGTGCGGACGCGTGCTTTTAGGGGCTTGTTCCACACTCCTCGGGGCATCCTCGGGGCCCGAGGACGAATCCTTGGAGTCGCCCGAGGAAATTCCCGCCTTCGTTCTACTCATCCTCGGAAATGTTCCCCGAGGACGATTCCTCGGGTGCTCCCGTGGCCAGTTGCATATTTCGACACGCGGACGGGGGGGGGTTGGCGAGGTTGGTCCAGCGGGTTGTGTCCGTAGCGTCGCCCTTGGTCCAGGAGCTGTGGGCGGCGCGAATTCGAATTTACGCGGCGAAAAAAAAAGGCTATGAAAGATTCGAATTTCGAAATTTGAATCCCAGTAAGCAAATGATGGCGGCGCGTGTGTCCCTTACGGCTGACGGCAGCAACGTTCGTCGGCGAGACTGTTTCGGTACGGGGTGGCAGCTTTGTGGCATCTGCTGCCACGCCGAACGTCCATGAGTACGTCCGAAGCAGCACGGCCGCCGTTGCACGATCGCCAACGTTGTGTGCTTCGCTACGCGCACCTTCGCCATTGACGTGCACGCCGTACAGTCGGGTTTTCACGACGCGCCATCGCTGTTGTTCCCACCGAAGTCGAGCCTTCTTCAGTTGGCGAGGACGAGCGATGGACGTGGACGGGGACGCGGTCCATGACACACTCAGCAAGGCAAAGAGGGCGGCTGTGGCAGCGGCCGTGAACATGATACTCATCAGGTGTCAATTGCAGAGGACGGAGGGGAGGATGAGAGCAGCCATTCGCGCACGCCGGAAGAAAACGCTGCAGTCCATTCATGTGGACGAAGAGGGCAGCGGTGCCATTTACGACGCTGTCCTTCAGGTGTGCTATGCCATGGGGTGTCGAGCGTTTCCCAGAGCGACGCCGAGGTGGTGGATGAAACGTCGAACAGGGGGGGTGTGGGAGGATCTGCGGCAATGCGACGACGTGACGGAAGACTACTTCAAGGACAAGCTGCGCATGTCGCCACGGGTGTTCCGGGAGATAGCGGAAACTCTGTCCCCCTTCCTTCAATGGTGTGTCACGTTTTACAAGGAGCCCCTCCAGCCTGACCTCATCGTAGCGTTCGCTTTGTACAGATGGGCGTCGGGGGAGACGTACGAGAGCGGGACATGCAGCTTCGGCAATGGCAGAAAGTCTGGGTTGGTGGCTGTGCGGGATGTTACTTCGGAGTTGCTGAGTGCGTAGCGCGAGAAGATATTGTGGCCAACGGGGCTGCAAAAGGCGGTCGTCTTGCGCGCTTTCGTTGACAAGGGTTTCCCCAACTGCCATGGCTGCATCGATTGCACCCACATCTTCATCGACAAGCCAGCCAATTGCCCCGTAGAGGACTACTACGACAGAAAACGTTGTTTCTCCGTCCAGGCTCAGGTGGTCGTCGATCTGAACTTGCGCGTGCCGGATGTGTTCGTTGGATACCCCGGGAGCTGCCACGACGTGAGGATCGTCCACCTGTCCAGTTTGTGGGCGCGTGCGGAGGCAGGGAAGCTTTTCACTGGGCCACCTATCATGCTGCCTTTCGGTGTGGGAACGAACGGCTATCTATTGGGCGACAACGGTTACCCCCCCTCGGAATGGGTAGTCATCCCCTACGGCGGTGTATCACAGCACCCGTCGGAGATTCGGTTTGACAACAAGCAGAAGACGGCGAGGGGAGCAGTCGAGAGGGCTTTCGGCAGATTGAAGGGGATGTGGAGGTTGTTCCTTCACTCCCACAAGACGAACATGGAGACGTTGCTGCAGCAATTCGTCGCCGTCTGCATTCTGCGCAACATACTCATCGACGCGGGCATCCCGTTCGACGACAATCTGCTGTGGGAGGTCGGGCCGGACGGTGTTCGTCGCAGGGTTGACCTTGGGATGCACCGCCCGCTGAGGCAGATGTGTATGGAGTCGTTGACGGGGGATGCGCTGATCCTGCGGGATGCACTGGCGGAGCGAATGGGTACGCAGTGAAGACGAGCAGTCGTCGGGAGCGGGCGGCATGCACACACAGAGAGAGAGAGAGAGAGAGAGAGAGAGAGAGTGTTAATCGAGAGAGTGTTAATGGGTCGGTGGGCGTTGGCGTGCATGCGGTGGCTTGTGTGGCGCACTTTAGTTTCCTGTACTTTCGCATTGCGCCGCACTTAGGAGGTTTTCGCCGGGTGGGGTTTATGGCGATGGCACAGTCCATCTCGTCGGCGGCGGGGGTTTCGTGATGCTCGTGTGGTTGTTGGTCTTTGCGAAGATTTGCAGTGTGGTGCCACCGTCAGTGAGGGTGTGAGTGACGGAGGCCATTTCCGGGTGTGTGTTTTTTTTTTTTTTTAGGCTGGTCGGGATCGACGTTGCCTTCAAGGCCTGTTACATCGTAACTGTGACGTGTTCTGCTTTTGTCAAGAGTGATAGCATGAAGATAACATATCTTGTAATCTTTTTTTTGATGTCGTGGAGGTTGTTCTCCATGTTTGTGACGTTAAAGAGAGAGACGCTGTGTGTGTGTCATTTTTATTGCCTTCATCTGTGCTCGCATTTGGAATGGGTTGTGTGAAAATTCATCAATCTGTGATAAAGCATTTGTTGAATCATACATCCGTCAGCACTTTCCATGTCGCTGCAGCCCTGACAATCGTGAATGCAAATGAAAAGGGAACGCAAAAGAGTCAACATGAAGCTGTAGACATCATCAATAACGAGAGACACAAGAAATGACAGCATCGTCCAGACATCATGAAAAGCAACGAACACAAGAAACGACAACCTCCTGAAGTAGGGCCGTCATCAATACCAATGACA